CTGCTGTTTTGTGGGGGCTGGGAAAAACAAACATTTTAAAGCTTCTAGATAAACTATTTAATTTTATTCTTAATAGTGTTGTAAACATGCAACTCCAAGGCTCTGAGAAAGACCTTAGGCAGCTTTCCACTTCTGGATCAGTCTCACCCAGGATCTGCTCTCCTCCAAATAACCTCCCTGGTGCTCACACATTTGGGCCTGTGAGAACAAGAGGAGTCTGGCATGCTTTAAAACAAAGGCCAGGGAGAAGGTGCAGTGTCAAAAACAGTGCCTGGGCTGTCACCAGGGGCCTGGGTCTGGGTCTGTGAGCGTATTTGGCAATAACATGTATGTAAGAACTTAATCCACAGTTTAATATAAGGCAAAGGCTGATAAAGTCAGAACCACAAGAATGAAAAGAATGAAAGACCTGACTAGCCTGGGCAATATAGTGAGACCCTGTCTCTACAAAAAACAAAAACAAAATCCCCCATAAACTAGCTGGGCATGGTGACACATGCCTGTGGTCCCAGCTACTTGGAGGCTGAGGCAGGAGGATCACTTGTGCTTTGGAGGTTGAGGCTGCAGTGAGATGTGATCACACCACAGCACTCCAGCCTGGGTGACACTATGTGACACTGTCTCAAAAAAAAAAAAAAAATTGCCAGGCACAGTGGCTCACACCTGTAATCCCAGCACTTTGGGAGGCTGAGGTGGGTGGATCATCTGAGGTCAGGAGTTCAAGACCAGCCTGGTCCAACATGGGGAAACACCATCTCTCCTTAAAATGCAAAAATTAGTCAGATGTGGTGGTGGGCGCTTATAATCCCAGCTACTCAGGAGGCTGAGACAGGAGAATCACTTGAACCTGGGAGGCAGAGGTTGCAGTGAGCTGAGATCACGCCACTGCACTCCAGCCTGGGCAGCAGAGTGAGACCCCTTTCACTGAAAGACCTGAAAATGTTCCTAATACCTGTTCTAAACGCAGTTCCTTTCCCAGTTCTCCTCTCACTTCATTGCTGTGCTTCAGAAAACAAATTTAAAAACCCCTACAATCTCTGTGTCTTTCCTGAGTTTCATTTATTCTGAGATGTCAGACCAAAGCAAGAGGCTTTGTGCCTCCAAGCCTGTGTTGTCTTTCATCTGTGCCTTCTTAGCCTCAGAACCCTCACAGAACTCAGTCAGAGTCTGATGGGAGTTGAAATTCACCCACCCAGGTGGTTCCCAAATCCAGAATAATGGTAGTGAGCGTGGGCCCAGGAGACCCAGGACTCCTCACGTGCAGGGGAAGAGCCTGATCTTAGAGCGCTTATGTGACTTCTCCAAGGTCACCGCACTAGACTTGCTCAAGGCCAGACTGCTAGCTCTGGGTGATTCACCAGTGAGGACCATTCCTTCCTTGCTTTTAAACATCCCGTGTGCATCCTCTATCCTGGTTTTTTCTTCTTTTTTTGTGGCTCTACCTTTTATTTTTCTCTTCTCTTATGTTTTTTTCTCTTTTTTTTCTACTCATACTAATTTTCCTGTAGGAAACAGGATTAACTTGTCCTGGACACAGTGGACATTGTTTGCAGAGGATGGTGTCAGGGGCATTTTAAAGCCCCCAGCCCCACCCCATCCCTGGCTCAGCACTCCAAACCCATTTACCTGAAATTCCATCACGTTGATGTCTATTAACAAGCCACACTGCTGGCGGGATAGCATTTTAAAGCATATCCTCCAGATACCCTTTAATGAAGATGAACTATTTGAGACTGTGCTGTGATAGGAGGAGGGAAGAAGCGCTATTTTGTGGTGGCTTCTCCCACCTGCTCTCCAGCCAGGAACGAGTGTGTGAGAAGAATGGGAAGGAAAAACCGGAAAGCCGAAGGCACGTGTGTGTCTGGCTGTAAGGACTCATTCGAAGCATCATCATATGTCACTTAACAAGGATACACTCCCAGAAACTCGTCACTAGTTGGTTTTGTAGTTGTGTGAGTATCACAGATCGCACTTACAACAAACCTAGATGGTGTAACCTACAACACTCCTGGGATGTATGGTACAGCACATTGCTCCTGGGCTACGCATCTGCACAGCATGGGACCGTACTGAACATAGTAGGCAATCGTAACACAATGGTGTTTGTGTATCTAAACATATCTCAACATGGAAAAGCAATAGTGAGAAGATGGTGATCTACTCTTTTTTTCTACTTTAGCTTCCCAAGTAGCTGGGATTACAGGCACCCACCACCACCCCTGGCTAATTTTGTATTTTTAGTAGAGATGGGGTTTCTCCATGTTGGTCAGGCTGGTCTCGAACTCCCGATCTCAGGTGATCCACCCTCTTCGGCCTCCCAAAGTGCTGGGATTACAGGCATGAGCCACTGCACCTGGCAGTGATCTACTCTTTACGGGACTACCATCATTTACGTGGTCTGTGCCATGACTGTACATTAATGCGTCATGTTCTCCCTTGTCTCTGGGCCTGTGCTATTCCCTCTGCCTAGAATGCTTTTCCCTCCTGACCGTCAACCCATCCTTCCAGACTCAGCCCTCAGTCCCTCTGTGGCTCTTCTCCCGCCCCTCCTCCTCTCCCCGGGAGCTCCCCAGACTGCGTTCTGTGCTCATTCTGTGTGTCCCCTGGTTGTCTGCACTGCCACTGCCCTAGCGCTAAGGGCTCTGTAGCATTACTCATTGCTTGGGCAGTAAGAGTTCTGCCAACTCAGGGAGGCCTTAGCAACACAGTATGTTTGTCATTTTCTTTCTGTCCATTTAAATTTAAATCTGAGTGTGTATTCCACTGGACTGGCAGGAAATCCCGTTTCTGTCAGAACCGGGGCTCCGTCTTTCAGGGCCACACAGGAATCTGAGGGCTTCCTGTGGTGCTGAGAAAACTAGGAAAGGACCTCACATTTTTAGTGCATCAGGGAGGCACTGCTGTCTCCTGGTCCAGGCCTGAGAAGTCCCTTGAGACCCAGCAGCCCTCTGTTTCTGTGCTGGACCCAGGGCACAGGTCTCTTTGCTGGGGCTAGGCCGCGGTCCCCGGCGGCTAGGCTGCTCTGTGCTGTCTCTGATGCAGTATTGTCACCTTCATGCTCTGCTCCATTCTGTGCCCTGCTCCATGCGAGGCAGTGACAGAGGCTCTCTCCATTCATCCCCACTTCTCTTCAGTGACTGGAGGCTGTCATAAAACAAAGAGATGTTGCCTTCTGGAAGCTTCTTTGGCATACATTATCAACACACGCGGTACGTGTGGTGCAAAGAAATTATGAAAATTACAGACACGTTCTCAGCAGGGAAACACCTAGAAAGAACAAACACAAATTATCTCAACAGATTGTCCTGCTGTGCTTATTTGGATCCCCAAAGGCGTTCATTCCTAGGACCTAGTTCCTAGTCTGCAATATGTACTTAATGAGGATTTGGATAAAAAGTGAATGTTGACTCTTGGCGGGCCCACGGCGGCCACTTACGGTACTTCAAGGTGTGCACTGCACAGCCTAGAGGATCCCATGCAAATAGAGTTGGTTATTTGTTGAGACAGCTCTCTGGCAGATGTCTAAGAAAGCATTTTGGAGATGGGAAGCTTTTCTAATTTGTACTAATTAGGTCCTGACTGAGGTCTGTATCTTTTTCTGTATTTCCCCATTGAATTCCTTAAATGCAATGAACGGTAAAGTATCAGAAACAAAATATTGAGAAATCAAGATGTTTTGTTTTTTTTTTTTAATTAAGATTACCTTTTTTTGATAAAAAATACTGTAAGATATTTTTTACTTTATTAGTCCACATAAACAACATTCAGAATATTAATAAAAGTGAGTTGCAGCAGAGTAGGAAATCAGGAAAGAGTAGATTCAGAATGGAATCATTCCTGCCGAAGAGAGTATGGGATTCAGTATGCAACAGAGTTGTTAATATCAAGCCTGCATAGTTTGTAGTTATTTGTAACTCTGGGTAATTGAAGAGACTGATAAGAAATCTGTTTTCAAAATATAGTGGGTTTTTTAAAAATATAGTTTCTTTTATATTTTTAATTTTTTGAGATGGAGTCTCACTCTGTTACCCAGGCTACAGTGTAGTGGTGCAATCTCAACACACTGCAACCTTCTCCTCCCAGGTTCAAGCAATTCTCCTGCCTCCACAGCTGGGAGTACAGGTGCCCACCAACACATCTGGCTAGTTTTTGTATTTTTAGTAGAGATGGAGTTTCACCATGTTGGACCAGTCTGGTCTTAAACTTCTGACCTCAGGTGATCCCCCTGCTTTGGCCTCCCAAGGTGCTGGGATTGCAGGTGTAAGTCACTGTGTCCAGCCTATAGTTTCTTTTTATTAATCTCTTTCTTCATGCAGTCTGAATCTGTTCTTCTTTATTTTGTCTCAACTAATAATTGGAAGTAAGGTTTTCAAGCCAGACGCGGTGGCTCATGCCTGCAATCCCAGTACTTTGGGAGGCTGAGGTGGGCGGATTGCTTGAGGCCAGGAGCTTGAGGTTGTAGTGAGCTGTGATTGTGCCACTGTACTCCAGCCTGGGATACAGAGGAAGACCCTACTTCTTTTTTCTTTTTTTTTAGATGGAATACCACTCTGTCTCCCAGGTGGAGTGCAGTGGCACTGTGTTGGCTCACTGTAACCTCTGCTCCTGGGTTCAAGCAATTCTCCTGCCTTAGCCTCCTAAGTAGCTGGGATTACAGGCGCCTGCCACACCTGGCTAATTTTTATATTTATTTTTTATTTTTAGTAGAGACGGGGTTTCACCATGTTGGCTAGGCTGGTCTTGAACTCCTAACCTCAGGTGATCTGCCTGCCTTGGCCTCCAAAGTGCTGAGATTATAGGCGTGAGCCACCGTGCCCACCTGACCCTATTTCTTAAAGAAAAAAAAAAAAAAAAGTAAAGTTTGCTTCAGCCTGAGTAAAATTACTTGCCTCTGTATAGAGACAGTTATTAAAGGACTCGTTTGCGGTTTTAAATTAAAGCAAACCCACTCCCCACTCTCTGTTTCTTTTTTTTTTTTTTTTTTTTTTTTTTTTTTACAGATCATATGGCAAAGGAACCAGTGGAAGACACAGATCCCAGCACTTTATCCTTTAACATGGTAGGTTACAAATTTTACACTAATGGTAATAATTATTGTTCTGCTTTTTTTCTTTGTTATTTCTTTGCATTTTTATTACTCTGTCTTTACACATCTATCACAAACCCCAAAGTGAGATTTTTCTAAGACAAACTGCTTTATCTTGATATTCTATGTGATAATGATAAACTTTGGGTTTCTCCAGTCTAAAAGTGGTGTTAGATTCTGTTCTTCTTTTGCACATGCTGGAGGTCATCTTAAATTATGTGAGGACTTTGTCTACTTGCTTGTTTTTAAATTCTAATTGTATTTTATTTTAGAAGGAGTCTTGCTCTGTTGCCCAGGCTGGAGTGCAGTGGTGCGATCTCCGCTCACTGCAATTTCTGCCTCCGGGTTCAAGCAGTTCTCCTGCCTCAGCCTCCTGAGTAGCTGGGACTACAGGAATGTACCGACATGCCTGGCTAATTTTTATATTTTTGTATTTATTGTTATTATTATTTTTTTTTTTGTAGAGACGGGGTTTCACTATGTTGGCCAGGCTGGTCTCGAACTCCTGACTGCAGGTGATCTGCCCCCATCGGCCTCCTGAAGTGCTGGGATTACAGACTTGAGCCACTGTGCCCGGTCTACTTGCCTGTTTTTAATACTTTTGGTCTGGTAATGGAGCAGCCTGGATGCTAGAGGGACACGAGCTATTGGATTTACCTCTGCTACATCATTTAATTCTAGCAGCTGGCTTCCTGAGCTTCATCACCTCCCTATCCTCCCGTAACCATTCTGAGGCAACTGCTTCAAGGTTATCCAAAGATTTCACATATATTGGTTTTTTAAATTCATTTTATGGTTTATTATTATGATTTTAATTTCAGATTCCGTGGATACCTATGCAGGTTTGCTAAGTGGATACATAGTGTAATGGTTAGGTTTGGGCTTCTTGTAAAGCAATCACCCAAATAGTGAGCATTGTACTTAATAGGTAATTGTTCAACCCTGAGCCCCCTCGCACCCTCCCCCTTTTTGGAGTCCGCAGTATCTGTTATTTCCATCTTTACAGTCCATGTGTACCCATTCTTTAGCTCCCACTTAAAAGTGAGAACATGCAGTATTTGATTGTCTGCTTCTGAGTTATTTCACTTAGGATGATGGGCTCCAGCTACATCCATGTTGCTGCAAAGGACAGAATTTTATGCTTTTCTTTTTTTGAGATAGAGTTTCGCTCTTGTTGCCCAAGCTGGAGTGCACTGGCATGATTTTGGCTCACTGCAACCTCCACCTCCTGAGTTCAAGTGGTTCTCCTGCCTTAGCCTCCTGGGTAGCTGGGATTACAGGTGCGCACCACCATGCCTGGCTAATTTTTTGTATTTTATTTATTTATTTTATTTTATTTTATTTTATTTTGAGACGGAGTTTCGCTCTTGTTGCCCAGGCTGGAGTGCAATGGTGCGATCTCGGCTCACTGCAACCTCCGCCTCCTGGGTTCAGGCAATTCTCCTGCCTCAGCCTCCTGAGTAGCTGGGATTACAGGCATGCGCCACCATGCCCAACTAATTTTTTGTATTTTTAGTAGAGATGGGGTTTCACCATGTTGACCAGGATGGTCTCGATCTCTTGATCTCGTGATCCACCCGCCTCGGCCTCCCAAAGTGCTGGGATTACAGGCTTGAGCCACCGCGCCCGGCCCAATTTTTTGTATTTTTAATAGAGACAGGGTTTCACCATGTTGGCCAGGATGGTCTCAAAGTCCTGACCTCAGGTGATCCTCCCGCCTTGGCCTTCCAAAGTGCTGGGATTACAGGGGTGAGCCACTGCGCCAGGACAGAATTTTATTCTTTCTTTATAGCTGCCAGTCATTATTTTTCAACCTCCCAAGATCCTCCTAACCATCCCGTGAGATGGTGGGGCAGGTATCCCCATCCTACAGATGCCGAAAGGATGTTTAATGGATGTGTGCAGCCACCTAGACCGGAGCCCCGTGCTCCTGCCCAGCACTGCTTCTTGGTCAGGAGGATGGGATCTACCAATTTGTGAACGGTTTTGGTTAACTAATTTAGTTACAGCAACGTAAAATACCCTTAATGTAATTCAACTAAATGTCTTGAAATCTTAAGTGTCTTGAGGACCTGAGGTGTTTGTATTCCTGTCCTTTAATTACCTCTGGCTTGGTAAATGGTGGACAGCATAGGGGATCGTGCTTTGATACCCACTGGAAATTCCTACGAAAAATTCTCAGTCTCTTCACTCTCATAAAAATGGAAGGAGGAACAATCCTGTGGCCATGGCTTGTGCCTCTTTGGAGGAGTTTGTTACGAAAGCCTTTGGTTTCTATAAAGTGTTACTCAGTTCACCTTCCTTTCCTTCCCACTGCCCCCACCTGTGACTATGCAGGTCTCCCTGGTGTCCTGCTCACTTCCTAACACTAGGTTTTCTTTTCCCTCCTGTGAAGCCATCTCCTTATGCTCACTCTGGGGCTCAGCTACCTCAAATTACTTCTCCACGCCACAGGCAAAGTGATCTTTCCAAAGTTTCCCCGTTACTAATTTCTCAGGGCTGTTGCAACAAAATACCACAGACTGGGCGGCTTAAACAACAGAAATGTATTTGCTCATGGTTCTGGAGGCTGGGAGCTTGAAAGCAAGGCGTCCCCAGGGCCAGGCTCCCTCTGAGACCCAGAGGGAAGAATCTTTTCTTGTCTCTTCTAGCTTGTGGTCCTGCCAGCCATCCTGGAAGCTCCTCAGCTTCCAGAAACATCACTCCATTCTCTCACTTCATTGGCACATGGCCATCTTCTCCCAGGGTGTCTATGTTTCATCTCCTCCTCCTTCTCCTCCTCCTCCTCCTCCTCCTCCTCTTCTTCCTCTTCTTTTTTGAGATGGAGTTTCACTCTTGTCACGCAGGCTGGAGTGCAATGGCACTGTCTTGGCTCACTGCTACCTCCGCCTCCTGGGTTCAAGCAGTTCTCCTGTCTCAGCCTCCTGTGCAGCTGAGATTATAGGCACCAGCCACCACACCTGGCTAATTTTTGTATTTTTGGTAGAGATTGGGTTTCACCATGTTGGCCAGGCTAGTCTCAAACTCCTGACCTCGGGTAATCCACCTGCCTCAGCCTCCCAAAGTGCCGGGATTATAGGCATGAACCACTAAGGCTGGCCTTTTTAAAAAACAGAGTGATAAGTGTTCTAGTACAGGTATGTGTTCCATGCTCTTGGGAGCAGAATGATGAGAACTAATTTGGTCTGGGGTAGAACTGTAGGACTATTCTCTGTGATTGATTTTTGTTTACTAATTTATTTTTGCTGGGAGAAGTTGGAGGCTTCTAAGAGTTCTGAAATTTTACTTCCCAGCTCCAAAGAAACTCCAAGGAAAGGCATTTAAAACAAAATCCTTGCTTCTCCATTTGTTTCCTTTTCTCCTCTCTCAGTGGAAGAGATGGGTGAGACCTACAGGAAATTGTCGAGGTGTAATTTTGTTCAGGCTCGAGGACAGGGGCTGAGTGGAGTTGGAGCCGAGCAGGGGTTAGGGGACAGGGTTGGGAAATTAGGCTAATTCTCATCCCTCTCATGGACGTTTTCAGAAATGGCTACATTGTTTAGTCTGAAATAAGTTTCCAGAACTTTAGACATCTGCATGTAAGTATGAATAAATTAAAAGAAATCTATGTGATTGTGAGAACATTTGCTATTTTGAATTCCTTTAACAGTATTACTCTCAACGGATGCATTGAGAACTGTGCTGAATTTTGCATCATCACTGATGCTTAGACCTTTGTGCAGTCAGTAGGAAAGTGATCCTTTGATCATCCTGTATCAGTCAACCCAGGCCATAGCTCTGCCACAGTGAGCACTACTCAGAACATGATTGGCCAATGACTGTTGCAGAAACAGTGAGAAGAAACGCATCTGTCCTCATCAGTCGTGACAACAAATGCTTCTCAGTTGTAAACTGCAGGGGGCTAGCACTGCAGGAAAGAGAGGAAGTGTGGTTCTGTGGTCAGAGCCGAGGAAATTTGGAAGGCTTATTCTGTTTCATGATCCAGCATTCACCTCTTGTCAACCTCGATTTCATTCCCGTCGATTGAGAAGAAACACGAGAAACACAACCAATGGATGAGGCCAGTTGATAAGTTTGAGGCTAAACAGTTTCAAGTTTTTAATTGAAGTCATAACTTTTCCAAGACAAAGCTCTCTTTTCACTTTGATCTTACAATTGACTATAGCATTTAAAAATAACTCTCTTCGTTTGTTGGTTTCTACAGTCAGACAAATATCCCATTCAAGATACGGAACTCCCTAAAGGTATGTACAGTTAAAATAATGACTTGAACTTGTGATTATTTTAAGATTGTGAACAAAGCACTACTCAACGTAATTTTTCATTATTTAAAATTGTGAAGCAGGAACATATCCGTAGATTAACTCGTGACTTGTGACATGATTGTCCCAGAAATTAATTCTTTTTTTCTTTTTTAAAATCGTATCTTTTAACCTTGCAATCGAAATGAATTTTCTGATTAAAAACTGTAAATTATTCCATAACAAATTATGCGTTAAATTCCTGTGGTGTTTTTAACAGGCATAAAATGAAGACAGCCAGGACTCTGGGTGGCAAGGGTGAGAAATCTAACCCTAATTTGTTTAAAAAGCCGGAACTGGCTGGGCGCAGTGGCTCACGCCTGTAATCCCAGCACTTTAGGAGGCCAAGGCGGGTGGATCACTTGAGGCCAGGAGTTTGAGACCAGCCTGACCAACAGGGTGAAACCCTGTCTTTTCTAAAAATACAAAAAAATTAGCCAGGCGTGGTGATGGGCTCCTGTAATCCCGGCTACTCAGGAGACTGAGGCAGGAGAATCACTTGAACCCGGGAGGCAGAGGTTGCAGTGAGCCGAGACCACGCCGTTGCACTCCAGCCTGGGCAACAAGAGCGAAACACTGTCTGAAGAAAAAGAAAAAAACATGGGAGGCCGGGCGCTGTGGCTCCTGCCTGTAATCCCAACACTTTGGGAGGCCGAGGTGGGTGGATCACCTGAGGACAGGAGTTCAAGACCAGCCTGACCAACATGGAGAAATTCCATCTCTTAAAAAAAAAAAAAAAAAAAAAAAAAGTGGGAACTCACTGACTTTGGGGTCTTTGGGCTCTGCTGGATTCAAGCATCTACATGAGGCTGTCAGGTTGAGTCTCTCCTCATGGCTCTGTCGTCTTCCATGTTGGCTCCAGCCTTGAGCAGGTTTCCCTGAATGGGAGGGAAAGACGATTACTAGCACCTCCTGCTTTATATGGTGTTCTCAAGGTGGTGGAGGAAGAGGGAGCCTTTCCACCAGCACGCATAGCACAGTTTCAGAGATGACTGTGACTGGGGCAGTTTAGGTCACGTGGCCATCCTTAAATTGACTTTTGTGATCAGGAGGATGGAGGACGTTGGCCAGGTCTGAGCCTTGAGCTCGGGCTGGGGAGGACGGTCATGGAATGGATTTTCCCCAAACCACGTTGTCTGGGAAAGAATGTTCTGTGGCTAGACAAAGGGGTGAAGGATGCTTGTTAGGCCCCAAAACAAACTAAAAAAGCTGTCTTTGGTAACTCATACACTTAGGCATGACGGAGATCGTGGGGTGGCTAGACCCTAGCCTTTCATAATCTCTCCTGCTGGCCTGCTGGGTGGTCAGCAGGTCAGCAGGTCAGCAGGGTTCTGTTCTGTTTTTTTTTTTTTTTTGAGACAGTAGTTTTGCTCTTGTTGCTCAGGCTGGAGTGCAATGATGTGATCTTGGCTTACTGAAATCTTCGCCTCCCAGGTTCAAGTGATTCTCCTACCTCAGCTTCCCAAGTAGCTGGGATTACAGGTGCCCACCCCTGCGCCCGTCACTACACCTGGGTAATTTTGTATTTTTAGTAGAGGCAGGGTTTCACCATGTTGGTCAGGCTGGTCTTGAGCTCCTGACCTCAGGTGATCTGCCTGCCTTGGCCTCCCAAAGTGCTCGGATTACAGGCATGAACCACCATGCCCAACCCCTGTGTTCTTTTATGGAGGCCAAGCTGCTGATTGCCACAGTGGTTCCTCTACCGTGTAGTCTGCTGACAACTCAGAGATGAGGGGTGGGACAGTGTGGGGTTGGGGACAATCAGATCCAACTAGTTTCAAAGAATGGCAGGGGCACCTGGCATCCTGGTCACCATGGAGGGGCAGGCATGCCCAGCACGTGCTAACGTGGGTCTCCCCAGCAATTCTCATGGTAGTGGACCATCGTCGGGAGATCTCCAGGGCCAACCTGTCCAGAGTTTGGCCAGAGCTCTTTTCGTCCTCTCTCCCTACTACCCCGGACCTTTCTCTCTGCTTCCCGAAATGACACCATTAGAGTGTCCTTCCTTTTCTGTCCAAAAAGGCTGTGAGTGGCCTCAGCAAGTGGTTTCAGGTCTCAGGGTCTCTGTTTCCTCATCAGCACAGCAGGGAGGACAAGGTTACCGTCTACCTCCCAGGGTGCTGGTGAGAATTCAGTGAAATAATTGAGAATGGTGCCTGGCACGTGTGAGCACCAGACACGGGTGCAGGGAAATCCGGCCAAAGAAGTGAGAGAAATCAAGATTCAGGACTGTCAAAAGCTTTCAGGCAGCGTGGCAAAGTGAAACCATCTTGAAAAGACAGAGCTGTAGTGGCCCTAGCATTGCAATGTCGTGGTGTGATCGGGCTCAAGATCTTTTTCATCACTCTTAGTGTGATTTCCTGTTTTGAAGAAAAAAGATTGTGGTTTAGCAACCTGATACTACAGTAATAGTATCATCAGGTTTCTCCTAGAATTTGGATTATACAAAACTTAATGAATTTATAAGTAACGTGAATGTGAAAACCATACCCAAGCCTTTCCTTTATCCTTATTCAAATAGGATTTTTTTTTTCTTAGATCAAGGAACAGATTGGAGTGAACATTGTTATTAAGTGTATAATTTCTTATCTACAAATAAATGCTTCATTTTATATGTAAATGAACCATGCCTAGAAGTTTAAAAACTTACTCCTGCATTTGCACTCAACATGTCTGCTAGCATTTTTCTTTGGTATTACTTAATGGGGCCAATACTATCATTAGATGTTGTGGTAATTTTCTCATTGAAGTCGTTTATGGCTGGGTGCCATGGCTCATCATGCCTGTAATCCCAGCAGTTTGCGTGGCCAAGGTGGGCAGATCACTTGACTCCAGGAGTTCAAGACCAGCCTGGGCCACAAGGCAAAACTCCATCTGTACCAAAAACAATATTAAAAATTAGCCTAGCGGCCGGGCATGGGGACTCACGCCTATAATCCCAGCACTTTGGGAGGCCAAGGCGGGCAGATCACAAGGTCAGGAGTTTGAGACCAGCCTGACCAACATGGAGAAACCCTGTCTCTACTAAATTTACAAAATTAGCTGGGTGTGGTGGTGCCTGTAATCCCAGCTACTCGGGAGGCTGAGGCAGGAGAATCGCTTGAACTCGGGAGGCAAAGGTTGCAGTGAGCCAAGATCACACCACTGTACTGCAGCCTGGGCAACAAGAGCAAAGCTCCATCTCAAAAAAAAAAAAAAAAAAAAAAAAAAAAAAAGAAAAGAAAAGAAAAGAAAATTTAAAAAAAAATGTACATGGTGCTAAAATTTCTTTTATACCGTATTTCTGCCAACTTCAAAGTTTAGAGTATGGCCTTGAATTCTGCGACTAAAGATTAGAATTTGATGGATCAAAATCAGTTTTTGAGAAATTTGTACCATCTTCACCACAGTTGGGAAAACTGTGAAGTTAACACAATTTAGGAATGGAAGTTGCTTCCTATCAATTCATATGGAAAGATGTTAAATGTTAACGTGAATTTCGAGTTCCTTTTCACTGGCAACCTGAACTTGAACAAGAGAACCAAAATGGTGTAGGTTTGACTTTTAGGACGGTAAGCTGTTGGGATAAGTATAATCTCACTCTCTCTGGTCTGAAAGGCTTAGTAAAATGGCAGACAAATGAATGAACACAGTGGAATTTGATATGTTGTTAATCAGGGCGATTTTTTTTTTTTTGAGATGGAGTCTCGCTCTGTCACTTAGGTTGGGGTGTGGTGGCACGCTCTCGGCTCACTGCAACCTCTGCCTCCCGGGTTGAAGCAATTCTCCTAGCTGAGATTACAGGCATGCGCCACCACGCCCAGCTGATTTTTGTATTTTTAGTAGAGACTTGGTTTCACCATGCTGTCCAGGCTGCTCTCGAACTCCTGACCTCAGGTGATCTGCCTGCCTTGGCCTTCCAAAGTGCTGAGATTACAGGCTTGAGCCACCACGCCCTGCCAGGGGGAGAATGTTTTGATTGTCTCCTCTTCACCCCATTAGTGAGGGAGGAATTCCATCTTGGGGTGGGCTGCCTTCTGGTTCCCATGGGAGGATATGATCAGCCTGAATAATTCCACAGGTTGGCAGGAAACTAAAACCCACTACCCAAAGATAAGCAGGGGCAGTCACAGCAGTTCACACTAGTAATCCTAGCACTTTGGGAGGCCAAGGCAGGAGAATCACTTGAGGCCAGGAATTCAAAACCAGTGTGGGCAACATTGTCCCTATGTCTACTATACATAAGTATATGGATGGTATGTGGCCCACATGTATATATTCTTAATTAGCTGAGTGTCGTGGCACATTCCTGTAGTCCCAGATACTTGGGAGGCTGAGGCGGGAGGATCAAATGAGCCAAGGAGTTCCAAGTTATTGTGAGCTGCAGTCCAGCCTGGATGACAGAGTGAGACCCTCTGTCTCTTACTTAAAAAAAAAAAAAAAGCAGGAATTGTGCCTAATCTCTTGATAAGGAGCATTGTTTAGCCGGGGGGTCTTATCCTTAAGAGCAGAGCTTGGAGAGGAATTTGTAGTCCAGCCCTTCAGATTTTACCAGCTGCCAAGGCAGCACGTGACACTAGCTTTAATTTTAGGTATGATGCCAGGCACGGTGGCTCACGCCTGTAATCCCAGCACTTTGGGAGGCCGAGGCCAGCAGATCACAAGGTCAGGAATTCAAGACCAGCCTAGCCAATATGGTGAAACCCCATCTCTACTAAAAATACAAAAATTAGCTGGGCATGGTAGTGGGTGCCTGTAGTCCCAGCTACTTGGGAGGCTGAGGCAGGAGAATAGCTTGAACCTGGGAGGCAGTGGTTGCAGTGAACCAAGATTGTGCCACTGCACTCCAGACTGGGTAACAAATCGAGAATCCTTCTCAAAAAAAGAAAAAAGAAAGAAAGTTTAGGTCTTATACCACAGAGTGTGTGCGTTTTAAAATCATGCTTTGTTTCTTTTTTTTTTTTTTTTTCCCTAGCTGAAGAATGTGATGCAATTAGTTTGAACTGCCCACCAAATTCAGATATGCAAAACCAGGTAAGAATAATTTCGCTATATTTTACGCTTAGGTACATGATGACCCACCTAAAATTTTTTTGAGAATTATAAAGCTTTATAAATAAAAATAAAAAACAGGATTTCTAGGTATTAAACAGGGCTTGCAAATGATCTCTAAGCACCCCAGTAAGGTAGCATATCTTCAGACCTTTTTTACTTCTAATAAATATCGCCACTTTCATTCATTCTTTGAAATATTTATCTATATGTCAACAACAGAAAATCAATGCTGGTAAGTTTGAAAGGAGAGCTGCTTTCTTTCTAATGCAGTTGGTACTTTGTGGATGTGCAAATTCTTTAAGACACAACATAACTAGATAATTTAACATAACAGTTTGGTAATGCTTTATAAAACTTTAATTTTTTTAGATATCTGATGTCAACTTTAACATATTATTTCTATTGTCTTTTTCCAAAAAGGAAATATGTTATGTTACGATTGTAAAAGAATGTTCTTTTTTTATTTTTAATTATTATTTTTTTTTTTTGGAGGCAAGAGTCTCACTCTGTTGTCCAGGCTGGAGTGGAGTAGTGTGATCTCAGCTCACTGTAAGCTCTGCCTCCCGGGTTCAAGAGATTCTCGTGCCTCAGCCTCCTGAGTAGCTGAGGTTACAGGTGTGCACCACCATGCCTGGCTAATTTTTTTTTAATGGTATTTTTAGAAGAGATGGGGTTTTTACCTGTTGGCCAGGCTACCCTTGAACTCTTGGCCTCAAGTGATCTGCCCATGTAGGCCTCCCGAAGTGCTGGTAATTACAGGCATGAAGCACTGTGCCTGGACAGAATGTTCATTATTTTAAAGTTCAGATTGTGCAAAAAAGTACAAACAAAAAATTGAAAATTGCCTGTCATTCCACTGTTCCACGTTTTGATGTACATCCTTCTGGGGACTTCCTTGGTCGATTACTTCTTTTTTTTTTGAGACTGAGTTTTTGCTCTTGTTTCCCAGGCTGGAGTGCAAAGAAGGGTACAATCTCGACTCACCACAACCTCCGCCTCCTGGGTTCAAGCAATTCTCCTGCCTCAGCCTCCTGAATAGCTGGGATTACAGGCATGCACCACCTAACTCAACTGATTTTCTATTTTTAGTAGAGACAGGGCTTCTCCATGTTGGTCAGGCTGGTCTCGAACTCACGACCTCAGGTGATTCACCCACTTTGGCCTCCCAAAGTGCCAGGATTACAGGCGTGAGCCACCGTGCCTGGCTGGTCAGTTACTTCTTGTACTGTCCAAGTCACCTCTGTTTTCTCTATCAAAGCTCATTGGCAGAGCTGCTAAAGTATATTTAGAGCATTAAATATCTCAAAGGCACGTCGAGATAGGCTGGTGCAGTTCTGCTCCTTCTATATATACCATCAAGTTAATTTTTAACAAGTTGTGCTTAGTCTTGCTTTAAAAGTATCAGTCTGTAGTAAAGTCTTTAATAGTAACATTTTTGGGTAGTCAGATCACCTCTATAGTAAAAAGAAGTTCCGCAATAGTTGAAAAATAAGCAATTTAAATTGAAACACACCACTCTCCTGAAAATGGTCAATGGTGCTACTTTTAACTTTGTTTTGGGGAATCTTCAACCATTAATTGTGACTATCAGACTTCACTTTTCACTCCTGATACTCAACACTTTCCTTGAGATTACAATCTAACAATGGGCTTCTGTCTGAATTTAAACTAGTTTAGTAAACAGAAAATATAAATTTGTCCTTCTTGTAATCCTAATTTTTAAACAAAGTTTTGCTCCTCAAATTTTTTGGTAACATGTAGACCTCTTTAAAGATAAAAGAATGCTGCATTTTTTATGTAGTTTTTGTTTTTAGAGATTTTCTAAAACCATTTAAGATGAGGTGCAGAATGTTAGCACACTGTTGAGCGTTTTTCCTAATTTCAGTGTTATAATTTTGGTGATATCGAGTAAATACTGTGCTAAAAGGTGAAACTGTATTTATCAACTAAAAAATAGGAGAAAGACCTCTTTGAGATTTGTAAAGTTCTATTTTAAAACAAACTGTCTTCTTGTCCTATAAAAAGAAGTCCTATAAGCTGGCTGCTTCCGTTAACTATTTCTTTGTGTAATCTGTAGGATTTTTTTCAACTGCTAGATACTCAGAAAGATTCTTTGAAATGAACTTGGCAGTTAGAACAAAGAAAATTCACAGAGAGAAACGTTTAAAAGAAGAAAACAACCCACACTCCATTCTATAGTTCAGACATTAAAAGCAAACTGGAGGCCGAGCACAGTGGATCACACCTGTAATCCCAGCACTTTGGGAGGCCGAGGCAGGTGGATCACGACAAGGTCAGGAGTTCAAGACCAGCCTGGCCAAGATGGTGAAATCTACTAAAACTACAATAATTAGTTGGGCACGATGGCAGGCACCTGTAATCCTGGCTTCTCGGGAGGCTGAGGCAGGACAATTGCTTGAACCCAGGTAGCAGAGATTGCAGTGAGCCGAGATCATATCACTAAACTCCAGCCTGGAAATCAATAAATTAATAAATAATTAATTGCCTGGATAATTAATTAATTAATTTAGAAACAGTCTCAAATAAATTTGAGATTTATTTATTAGAGACTCTGTCTCTAAATTAATTAATTAAGGTTTATTTATTAGAGACTCTGTCTCTAAATTAATTTAATTAATTAAATTAGAGACAGAGTCTCTAATAAATTAATTAAAATAAAACAAAAGCAAGCTGGAACTGTGTTCTTTAGAATAATTATTATCTGCCTTTTTAGTGATTTTAGTAATTTAAGAACTAAAATTTACTTCTACTAAGGCTTAATTTTAGCTTCCTAAAATGATGCAGAAGAAAAACATTATAGTGTCCTAGTGTCAAACACTAAAGTCTAAGCCAGACATGGTGGTACCTGCATGCGCTACCATGCCTGGCTGATTTTTATATTTCTGGTAGGGATGGGGTTTCTTCATGTTGGCCAGGTTGGTCTCAAACTCCTGACCTCAAGTGATCCACCCACCTCGGCCTCCCAAAGGGCTGGGATTACAGGTATGAGCCACCATGCCTGGCAGAGATTCTAATACTGCTTTTACTATGCCTTTTCTGTGTTTAGATACGTTTAGATACACAAATGCTTACCATTGTGTTACAGTTGCCTACAGTATTCAAGTCAGTAACATGCGCACAGGTTTGTAGCCGAGGGGCAACAGGCTTTCCCACAGCCTGGTGTGTGGTGGGCTACAGCATTGAAGTTTGTGTAAGTGCACACTATGATGTTCACACAAACGAAATCACCTAAGGACACATTTCTCAGAACGTATACCCATTGTTAAGTCACACATGACTGTAATGATTTCTTTGATATCTAACAAGTCTCTCAAAACTTTAAGTTCTCCATTATGCTATAGAGAATAAATGGAAACCCTCTTAATGACTGATACTAAAGTAGCCACCCAATAAACAGTGACTAGTTTTACATCTTGTTTCCTCATCAGAGAAACAGAAGTCTGTTTCCAAGTTTGCGGAGTTTGTGTCTTAAGTGGGACTCACCCCTGTGTCTGACCCTTCACACACCACCTGCACCTTCCTTTTAGAGGGCTGGATTCCTCCTTCCTCCTAGATCCCATGCACACCCTGTCACTCAGAGACCAGGGCCCTATCTCTCGTGCCTTATTTCCTAGGCTTGGTGTCATCCAGAACCAGAGCAGGGGGATGACTCGGCATTGCTAATCTTGACAGTTTAGAAGGTGAGCCTGGGGCCCAGGTGCCCAGTTTGACAACTTGGCATCTTAAAGCCGAAGGGAACCTTAGAAGTCACATTGCTCAGCCTCCTTGCTTTACAGATGAGGAACCTAGGACAGCTGATGAGTGGCAGAGTTGGCCCCAGGGCCAGGTCTGGCACCCCGCCACGTGCCCAGCGAGTCTGAGTTGGTAGCAGTTGTTACCACTGGCTGCTGGGCCACTTGCCTTGCCTAAATCTAGGAAGATTTAGATTTTTCCACAGTTCTAAATAATACCCATCTGGTGGAAGAGTGCAGATAAAAGCTACTGGAACAAAACAGGGTGACGGAAATGTTGCTCCTTTCCTTAACTGGATGGAGAGGCAGTGGGCAGAATCCCATCCAACAGCCTTATTGGCTTGGCAGAGCAACCAGCCCAGCAGACTCTCTGCAGACCCAAGTAATTACATACAGTGTAATAACAGGGAATGGACCTGACCAGCCCTTGCTGGAGATGATATCTGGTGTGAGTCAGCCCGGCAGGCCTCTACCTGCTTCTCTTGATATGCAGGAATCCTTTCAAGCTCCAACAAGATCTGTTTAATAGACTGGAGAGTCCTTAAGTTCCTTCCTCTAAAGGAAACTCAGATTGTTCTGGTTTGCTTGGTAATTCCTTACTTCATCCCTGATGGGAATTTTATAGAATGAGGAACCAGGACTATTAAATGGAACTAATAGGCTGCCTAGAGCACATACTTGGTATTTTTAACACTGATGAGAGGGACTCACTTCAGCCTTGCAGTGATTGCCTTCTGGTCCAGTTCTCAAAACAGGCGGTGAAAGGGTTCCTGTTACAGAGCTGTCTGGACATTTAAAGACGGGGGAGGAAACCTCAAGGGGTCAGTTGCACTGGAATAGACATTGCCTGTTCTTTTCTTTAGAGTCTCGCTCTGTCACCCGGGCTGGAGTGTGGTGGCGTGATCTCTGCTCACTGCCACCTCCGCCTCCGTGGTTCAAGCGAGAAGTCACTTGTTATCTGTTGATCTCTCTTGATCTCACACTCCTCCTCTCCCTGTTTCCTCTGTTCTTCATTTACCTACCTTCCCAGCAGTCTGTAGAGCTGGCCGCTCACTAACCTTCAGCAAGGTGATTGAGGGTCCTGTGTTAGAATAACTCACTGACTGCTAGAAAGTTAAAAATACCTGAGTAACACCAGGAGAACTTGGCTGGGGTCTTTAAAAGCCATAGAACTTCTCTTTCTGTCTTTAGATAACTGTAGACAATTTTGCCCAAAACAGATAATGA